CTTTTTTAACTAAGATGAATTTTATTGATAATAGCAACACAATTTATATTAACATTTGTGAAAATGATAGCATCATCTAATATTAAAAATAACATCATGTACAATTAAAAATAGCATGAAATATAGTTCTCACGATTCTCACACCAGCACTGGTTTTTATTTGAACCAGCCCCTATATATATAAAATTAGAATAACTATTTACTAAAAATAGTAGTAAAAACTTTGGAAGCATTTAATGCATGCTTTTTTTTTGAAAATTTTTAAATATATGCATTAATTACTTCCATATACGCGTTTTCAAATTAAATTAAAGCAGATATGATAAAAAATATTGTTTCCTTAAATATTTTTATTAATATTTGCAATACTTTCATTGATATTTATTATAATAAATTATAAAATCAATTTTCTGTGATTTATGTTGATAATATTTTGGTCAAGATAAATATTAGTACAACATATTTTAAATTCTAACCATAATATAAATTTTTTTCACAAATATTCAGTTATTATCCAAAAATATTAACAGGCTTTTCTTCCAATTAATCAGGTAAAATCAATTTGGTGAATTAATTTGCCAATATAATTTTTTTAAAGCTTTATCTCGCTGTATATAAAAAATAAATTATTTTTCAAATTAATATAATTTAACATTAAAGAGATAATGACTAGATACATTAAAGGGTTTTTTTTTATTTTTTTATCAAAGCGATAGAGATTTTATAAACTCTGAAACCAAGAACCAGAATCCAGTACAACAGGCCACACCTCAATAGAAAGAAAAAAAACTGAGAGGACACGCCAAAGGCGGCCTAGAACCCGAGAAAAAAGAACCTCAAACACTAAACCTCCACTGCCGTAAGGCCTAGAGGACACACAAAAACAAAATCAAAAAACTAGACTAAGACAGAAAACAAAGCTAAGATAAAACCAGAATAAAAGAAAAGGAAGAAGCAGCCGGATCAGACCGAGCCATAGCAAAAGGGGAGATGAAGCTGAAGTTAGGACTGAGAGAAGTCCAACCAATCTTTGTGAGCCAGCTTGATAATTGTGTGAGCTGGCATGGTGAGTCCTTGAAATATCCAGAGGTTGCGGCACTTCCATAGCCACCAGAGCATATAGGTTGTGAGTTGTATGCGGTCTTCTACCAGATTAGAGCCTGGGATGGAACATATGTGGCTCCACCAGCCCTTGAAAGAACCAGCAAAGACAGTGGCATTCCATTTTACAGGTGCAATATCCCAGACTTGAACTGCTTTGGGGCAATGGAAGAACAGATGATCAATGGATTCAATGCAATCTCCACAGCTTTGACAGATAGGGTCCAAACTCAACCCTCTTCTCAACAAATTGGCTTTAACAGGTAGAGTTCCATGAATGCACTGCCATATGAACTGTTTAAGCTTGCCAGGTAATATGAAATTCCAGAACTTGCAAAGAGATTTCTGAATGTTTGGGTTGCTGCAACCTGGAATGTCCATCTCAGTGGCTTTCAGATTTGTCAAGAAGGAGTAGGTACTGGAAACAGAAAAAGAACCCTTTTTGTTGAGTTTCCAGTAGGGCCTATCAGAGTGTCCAGGTTTGAGAGTACAGATGTTGAGGATGGCCCTGCAATCAGACTCATTGAAAAGTTGTTTTATCAACCATTCATTCCAGCCAGTACCAGCATCATTAAGTAATTCTTTAACCCAGTGAATATGACCCCTAGCAATTTCCAACAGAAAGGGCTTTGGCTGAATGGATGTTGGAATCCAGTTAACATCATCAAGTCTAGTGAATTCCCCATTTCTGATTTCCACAGCAAATCCTTTAGCAAATATAGGGACAATTTCCAACCAGTTGGACCAGAGCCAAGAACAATTATGAGTTTTGACAGCAGAAAAAATGGAGCAATCTAGAAAATATCTGTCTCTCAAGATTCTGCTAACTAACAAGTTAGGATGGGTAGTTATTCTCCAGAGTTGTTTGCAAATTAGGGCAATATTAAAAATTTTCAGGTCAATGAAACCCATACCTCCTGCAGATTTGGGCAAGGTAAGGAAATCCCATTTTTTCCAATGAACTCCCCTGGCTTGATCATCACCTTTTTTCCACCAGAATTGAGAACATAGTCTAGTGATCTCAGCACATAGAGAAGCAGGAAGTCTAAAGCAGGACATTGAATAGACAGGGAGAGATTGGATAACTGCTTTGAGAAGAACCTCTTTGCCTGCTTGAGAAAGGAGTTTAGACTTCCAACTGTTGAGCTTAGATTTGACAGAATCGAGGACAAATTGGAAGGACTGAATTTTAGACTTTCCAATCCCGAAAGGCAGTCCGAGATATCTTGTTGATTTATGAACAGAGATTCCTTGTAATGTGTCACAAATTTTCCCTTGAAGACAGTGTGGTGTGCTTCTGCTGAAGAAAATGGCTGACTTGTTGAGGTTAACCCTCTGACCAGTAAATAATCTGTATCTTTCCAGAAGGTGTAGAATATGGCCAGCTTGGTCATCCCCAGCTCTACAGAAAAGCAATGAATCGTCTGCAAAAAGCAAGTGAGAAATAGCAGGGCCATTTCTAGAGAGTTTCAGCCCAATAATGTCTCCTGAATCAACAGCATTAGTAATTAAGGCAGAAAGCATTTCAACAACAATGAGAAACAAGTATGGGGACAAAGGGTCTCCCTGCCTTATGCCCCTGGAAGGTATGACATAGCCACATACTTCACCATTCACTTTGAAGGAAAAAGAGCTGGAAGAAATGCAGAGCATAATCAGGTTCACAAACTCCAGCTGGAAGCCCCTCTGAAGCATGATCTTCTTAATACAAAGCCATTCAACTCTGTCAAATGCTTTTATTAGGTCTAATTTGAGTGCCATGAAGTGGTTTTTCCCTGATGTATGCCTATTAAGGAAGTGGAAAGCTTCTTGCCCTATGACAATATTATCAAAAATCTGTCTTCCTTTAAGAAATGCAGCCTGAGAGTGGCTGATGCAAGAGTCCAGGCAGCTTTGGAGTCTTAGAGCAATCAACTTAGAGAGAATTTTGTAGACCACAGTACATAAACTTTAGGTCTATATTGAAAGAGCATTTCTGGGTTAGGGCATTTGAGGATTAAGGTGAGAATTGTATGGTTCCAGTATTTGAGGAGAGAACCATTACCTTCAAAGAAGCTGAAAATGGCAGCAATCAAATCCAGTTTAATGATGTCCAAGAAGGATTGATAAAACAGGGCCGTCATGCCATCTTCCCCTGAAGATTTCTCTGGACTGAGACTGAGAAGAGCCAACTGAATTTCTTGCTCAGAGACTGGTTTGAGAAGGCTTTGATTCATAGCTGCAGTGATGGATACTGGAATAAGGGGTAGAATAGCTTCTCCACCCCAGGAGCCTTCAGAAGAGAATAGAGAATCATAAAAACTGGAAATGTGATCAGAAATTTCCTTATGAGTTGAACAAACCCTTTGCTGGTTAGTAATGAGCCTGGTTATAGCATTCTGCCTTCTCCTGTGGAGAGTGAGGGCATGAAAAAATTTAGTATTGCGGTCTCCCTCTTTGATCCATTTGGCTTTGGATTTTTGTTGCCAAAAAATCTCTTCTTGCAGATGTACAGCTTCCAGTTCTTTCTTTGTAGAATTCCATTCTTCCCAGTTGTGTTCCAGGCCATTTTCTTGAATTAGGGAAAGTTTTCTGTTAAGGTTCTCAATTAGGGAGTACTGCTGAGTTCTGAATTTGGCACTCTAATGAAGAAGGGCTTGTCTTGTGGCCTTGATTTTCTCCTTGAGTTGATAAAAAGGGGTACCTCTGACTTTGATAGACCATGCTCCCTTAACCAAATAGTTGACTGTATATGAAATAATTTTCTCACTTTTATTTCAACTCAAAATCTAACTCAACTTTAACCCAACCTCATTATCTTTAATATTATTCATATAATTTAATGATACAAATCAATAATTCTTACACATCACATCAATTTTAATTCACTATTCATCCACTCACATAATTTTAACAACCTATCATTTTCAATCATTTATCTCTTACTTTTACATCAAATCAAATTCAATCATTTTATTTTAAATATTATTTTAATACATTTTTAAAATTCCACTAACAGCTAATCATACCACTTTTTTCAAGATTAACCATGGTTAACCAAAATAACTCATTTTGAACAAATTATTTCATAAACAATCAAGCCCTAAATAATTTTACTAATGGTAAAAAATTAAAATTGAAATATATTAACTGTTCTTTAGAATTTATTTGTATAATATTGGCAATCATGATTATTATAATGAAATTCTTGTAAGATATATTTTCATTGTAGAGTATGCTAAATAAACTATAAATCCTTAGAATGTGAATTAGAAAAATCTTGATTATAGAAGGGATTGAATTTTTTGCATTTTCTAAATCAAAGTTGTTTAATTAGTATTCAAAATTAAATTCTAAAAAAACACAGTGTGTATATTTTGTAAAATTTTATACACTATTTAATTTTAAATTTATTTACATATTTTAAATTGCTTACATAAATAAATAATACTAACATGCGTTAAATATTTTTCAATACATAAAATAAAAAGAAAAAGAAGACGTACAACTTCTATAACTTTATAAATAATAATAATAACATTATATAATAACAAAGTTTATAATAAAATAATAATTAAGTATTATATGGTGAACAATAATAAGTAAAATTGTTATTTTCGCTAATATCAAGGAATACATATATATACTAACATTAAATTTATATTAGTATTTAATTTTCTAGCTAAAAATACAACGTTGATTAAAAGAGATGGAAAATATATTATAACCCTATTGTTTTTAGACTAAACGCTGATTAAAAGAGGTAGAAATAGATGATAGCCTTATTGCTTTATACACTTAAACAGACAAGGCCTATTGCAACAACTCATTTAATATCTTTGTCCCGCGCATCGCACGGATACGTATTAATATCTGCAAACCACCAATTACAAATTAGGAAATCAAACAAGTTACAAATGTCATACATCATCCTCACTTTCATCACTATATGAAACCAAACCAGTTATAGCTACAGGCCTGCACGTATCTACATTCGACATTTCCTGAAACACTTGTTTCACACTTTCCCCGGAGGCCTCGTTTCTGCTTGAAGACTCTACTTTTGCTTTCTTTGCTTGCGGTTTCACTTTGATTACCAAGCCTAATGGGCGAGATGTTGTATTCTTTCTTTTCACTACTGAATCTTTGTCCTACTCAACAAAACAGGGAGAAAAAATATATAATATTGTAACAAGTTCCAGAAACCCACTATTTTAATTGACTTCTCAAGTTACTCATTTATCCTAATCATCAATCCTTTCCTATGCACTCAAACATGCCAATAATCTCCAATTTACATGGATTAAGAAATGCCTGAAAAATAGAGCAAATAAAGGAATTTTTTAGGCTCAAACTCAATGAACAGTAACCTCTGAATTATACCACAGAATGTTCGATTCATTCTTGCATTACCAAATTCTCTATACAAACATGCTCATACACTGGGCATGTTTAGTCAACTAAAACAATTGTTAACCATAGATGTCTAAGCATGAGTTATTCATGTGCAGTCACCTGAGTTTTTGGAACTGAAGGTGCCTCCTTTAGCTCATGTACAATGTTAGAATGTGATGCCACTGCTGCCTAAAAGAACCATGAGGATAACATTGACTTCGTGTGTAACAAATTAATATTGAATCTTCAGATGAAAATCTGCAGAAAATTACCTGAAAACTACGAAGTTGCTGCTCTTCTTCATCTGCCACCTGTCGCTCGTACTCTCTCCTGGACTGTAAGGAACGATCAAATGCCAAATCAGTTACTTACATAAATATTTATCCCTGGCGTAAGTATACATAAAAGTAACCTCTAATGTCTTTCTAACTCGCGCAAGAAAAGTTACAGACACACACAAAAAGTAAGCCTCGAGTATGAAAGCGTTTAGGAGACAAAAGTAGAAAAGTAAGAAGAGCTCGCCTCACTCTATATTGATAAGTCCTATCAGATATTTATGAAATTAGATTTCTAAAGCTACTCTGTCACCATCTGAGTGGCAAAGCAGGCAAAGTCAAACCAGTTACGGCAAGGCAGTAAACCATCTTGCTAAGGTATGAAGGATATCTAAAGTTCCAATCCTTCACTTATCCATCAATTCCTAAGCTGATATGATGGACGTGCAGTTGAATTAGGGATGATACAGTACACGATCCTGAATTTCATCATCAGTCAAACCTTACAAACAAACTGACAAGGCATTGTCAAAACAGTAATTTGCCATTTACGAATATTATGTTAGGTATGTTTCTGATCAAGTCTCAAATTCCTGAAAATTGCTAATTAGCACGCGAAAGCCTCACCATTTCTAATCTATCAAGAAATTCAGTCTCATCTTCATCAAGAGCTTTGGGTGGCCCTGCAAGAGGAAATATCAATACGGGAATCAATTATTGGTACAAAAGGGCAATGAATATGTGGTAATGGTAGTCACTGGGGACCCTAAAACTAATAGAATATAAAAGCCAACGTTAACATGAAATGATGATACTTACTGTGCTTGAAACGTTCATTGAATTCAGCATCTTTCTTATCTTTATTCTCCTTAAGAATCTGCAGTTTCCAGAAAGAAAAAGAAGAAAAAAAATGTAACAAACACGTTGTTTCTGGAGTGGAATTGATCCACGAAGTGAACAACTCAAAACTCAGACGGCTGAGCTTGGATTACAATTGTCACCAAAAATTTTACTAAAGTTATATATATAATAAGCAAAACACTCTTGTAAACAAGAAAAATCCATAACACTCAACATCCAAGCTCATAATATCAAAAGTCACAAAGATGCAACCACACAAACTTACTAATACTGAGATGCAATATATAATATAATGAGCAGGAGAGATGCAGACCTCGTAAAGAGACCTATCCCGCTGAGCAGTGCCGTCTTCGACTCGAGCTCCCCGTGTCCTCCGAGCTTCTTCCAACTGAAAATCAGTCGCTCATTGTCACAATAGGCAGACAGAAGAAGAAAAATAATGATAATGAAAAATAAAATAAATTAGGGCAAACCTGGTCTTCGGAGACGAAGTTCATGAGCCTTACAGGCGGTGGCGCCTCGTCATCCGCCATATCCAAATGTATCAGATTTCGGTAATCCGGCCGGCAGCCCTTTGAGACGAGAAGGTGAAACTAAAGAAAGTAGATTGGGGATCCTATCAAAAAAGATTGTTTCAGAGTAATGAAGTTGCTTGTCTGTTTTGCTTTGCTTGGGTATTAGATTAGGGTTTTCAGTTCTTATGGGAGTAGGCTATAGCCAACGTCATTTTGTAATAGTCGATTGTCATGTTTTCTTTTGTATTTAAGTGTGTAACTAAAAACTAAAACCTTTATCAAATAGATTGAACCATCTTATATAAATCATCCCTTCATTGTCCTTTTTTTTTATATATATAAAAAAAAATTAAATGAGAAGTTGTATAAGTTATTAACTCTCTTAATAGAACTGGGAATTGGTATTGATGCAGATCATCATACTTCTGACAATGCAGTGTTCGGCACAAGGATTGTATCGTGTTAGTTATTGCCAACCTAACATGCAGAAGCTCAATTCGTAACAGCTCAGCATATTCAAAAATTCAGATCAACATTATAAGCTGAGAGATTTTCCATTTTCCACATCCATCCAGCATCCAAAATGCAGGATATGCAACTGTCGCACCGTACAAATTTTATTGTCATCAACAATACAGAAACAAAAAAAACTAGAGTTGTTAGCTACAAAGGTGATTTTTAACTCCCCCAGAAAGAAGAGAAACTCAGGTGCAAACATAACAACAATCCCTGCTTGGCTATTCACTTCACTAGCACCATCACCATGCGAGCTTATCCTTCTCGGATAGGGAAGAAGGCCAGGCCAGGCCAGAAATACAAGGAGAGCATGCAAGCCAAATATAGTTTGATCGTTACAACACTTCTCCACTCTTCAACAACCTGCAAAATTGAAAAATCATCACAAATCAGCCAAACAAAAGATGGCCACTTGGCTTGGCTTGGCTTGGTTGTGGCCAAAAGAGAGAACCTCAATTAGATTAACTGGCAGCAACTCCAAACTGCATGTTATTTATCAGCCAAACAAAAGATGGCCACTCTTCAACGCCCTCATGTTTGATGATTGTTATGATATTATCACATATGTCCATACATGAAGACAAATAATGAGCGCGCGCACGTGTGTGTGTGTGTGTGTGTGAGAGAGAGAGAGAGAGAGAGAGAGAGAGAGAGAGAGAGAGAGACAGACAGAGAGAGACAGAATACTATAAGTTTTAACTCCAGCTCTTGAGCAGCTTCCATATGAAGTGTTCCACACAAGTATTCTATAAAAGAAAATACAATGAATAGCTGAAACTGAGTAAATTTATTAATTTAATATTCACTTTTTCCTAGTTTCAAGTCAAAAGTCCATTTTCTCTTGTTAAATACATGACATTACCTTGTAGTCTGAACTAACTTAGCCTTGAGAAAATTAACTTACAGAAAACGATATAAACTAACAGCTGACCGAGAGTCGAATACCAGTGGCCATCCAAATGTAAGCATTGTGGATTGAAGGATAGACAAATCACCAAGCAGATGCATAAACTAGTAAATCAACAAATAGTTTAGCATTCATAAAGTGTCTTTATATTATCCTCCAACATGTTTGAAATTTAAATTTGATGTGAAATCATCTTACATATTCTAATTGATATCAAAAGTAACACATTATGCACATGAGCTACTTAGCAATTCAAGCAGGAAGTGAAACTAAACTACGGGCCTCACTCATAGTATTTAAAATGAAACATATGTCACGACATGATAACAAAATACAAACCTTCTCAGACTCCCCGAATCACCTCGCAAGTCACTCCATCATGAAGAAGTTGAGTAATGGCATCTCTCAACTTGATATAATCATCAAGAGTATTGTACACTTGGTGAGAAATCCGGACATACCCAGTTACACATCCATCACCATCCGAGAATCCAATCTCACCATCTCTTGGAACCTGATAGTGTACGGGCACTTCCACACAAAAATTGTCTCTCAAGTGTGATCTCAAGTTCAAGGCATCATCATCAGATAAAACTCTCAATCTTGATGGCAACCCAATCATAGCCATGCTCGGGCACATCTCTGGTGGCGAACCAAGAATGGTTCCCCAAGCCTTGGCCAGCATTCGGCCCATCTCCACCACTTTGTCATGGTTCCTCTTCCGGATTCCCTCGAGGCCTCCTTCAAACCTATTCGTAAATTCTAAAACTTCAGGAATAACCAGTTGGGAACTGTAGTCTCGAGTTCCAATCCATGCGCTCTCTATGGCAAGCCCATTCCCATATTCATGTGAAACAACGGGGTGGTGCAAATCAGGGGACACAGGCGACTTCCGGCAATACAAAAATGCAACAGACGGAGGACAGAAAAACCACTTGTGCAAATTGCTAACGTAAAAATCAGCCCCAATATCCTTTACATCAACATGTACATTACCAATAGCATGAGCGGCATCTACAAACACACGCTCCACGCCTTCCTCTCTACAAATTTCAACCAGCTCACGGGCAGGAATGACAACACAGGGCATTGATGTTATATGATCAATTATGGCCAGCCTTACCTTCTTACCATTAGCCCGGCCTTTTGCCAAACCTTTCCGAAACTCAGCTATGATTTCTTGGTTGGAATTGACAGGGAAGGGCAAGTGGACAACAATGACAGAGCCCCCGGCACGGGTAACATAAGCCTCGATGGACTTCTTGACGGCCTGGAAAGCACAGTGGAGCATGACAACAGCATCACCCTTTTGGAAGCGGCCCTCGGCAAAGGCCCAGCCAACATGCTGAAGAACAATGGCGGCGGCGGTGGTGGCGTTGTCCACGATGGAAACCTCGTCAACATGGTCGGCATTAATGAGATCCTTGATGACGGTGCGGGAATGGAGGATTTGGCGCTGGAGGTGATTCACGAAGAAATCGTCGGGCTGGCGGAGGAAGCGGAGCTGCCACCTCTTCTGGGCAGCGATAATGGAGGCGGGGCAGCTTCCGAAGCTGCCGTTGTTGATTCGGGCGACACCGGGCTGGTGGTGGGCGAACTCGTCCCGAATTTCGGAATCAGTTATGAAGGAGGGCTTGAGCTTCTTGGAAACGTGGTTGTTGTCGCCGTTCGTGGCGGCGCGAGGGTCCTCGAGGTCGGCCAGAGGATCCATGGAGGAGGATGATTTGGGTCCTAGGGTTTGGAACCGATTTACCAGTTCAGGCGTGAGCGAGACTCTAATTTCATGGGGGAGTTGCTTTTAATTTGGGAATTCATATTTCATTGGCAACTGCCCAAATATCTCCCCACCCACGATACAAATGTCACATTTTATTTACTTAACCAAAGAGAATTGACACACAAATATAAATTTCTTTCCAATCTATATAATTAACTTAAATCCTTTTTAGAAACTTATTTATAGCAAATCTTTATAAACAGTAATAATTATTAATTTTAACATACCTTAACAATCGCAATTAATGAAATTTATTCTAAGATTACATATTTTGTAGCCTTATCTGATTAAGGTTGTTATTTAGTGTACCAATAAAATCAGATTTATCAGTCGAAAACATATCTATTTGTTATTGACAAATATCAGAGGATTAATTGTGATCAGTTTATGGAATCAATCTATTTAATAGTTTATGGAAGCATTTCCCGATTTTTATGGAATCAAATAATTTAATATTTTAATAATAACAGTTTAAAATTCCGACATGATCCAGATTTGTGTGTCAAATACCTATTAATTTAACATAGCAGTTGATATAGCCATATTATCATATACCGGTTCAAGTGCAGGCTACTTGACTGGAGGGATTCCACGCCAGCCGACATCACGAATTCGGCTTGATAAACGTCGACTCTCACCAAATGACGGAAAAGAGACTCCGGCGAGTAGGCAGCTTCGAGACAATTTCCGTAAGTCGACTGGATAAGTTGACGGCTACCATGATGACGAGTGGACATAGTAGTCTTATAACATATTTAAATCGTACTAAGTCGACTCGTCACACCTCAAGATATAAAACCCTCTGACAATTCACAACACTTGAATATGTCTTAGCTACCCAGCGCGTGGGCACGATAACTGGTACACCATGAAATCTGGGTTCTAACTAAGGAGCGGATGGAATGTCAACCGACCAGGGTATTTTGGACACTTCAGATAGGTCGGCCAGGGTATTTCGGGTATCTCATGTAAGGTAGTTCTTCCTATATAAAGGGAATGAGATAACCTGTAGCGCCCCGTTCGAATATTAGATTTTTTATGAGTTTATTTTAATTAATGGTATTTTATTTTAATATTTATATATACCTTGATTATGTGATTATATATTTTTATTAATATACGGATACTATAATTTTATATATAGCTCGGTCGATTTTATTTTATCAATCGTCGTTTGAATTTTCGGTTTAATCGCGTAAGCCGAATTGTTGTTCGTTTGAATTCGTTTTAGAACCGTTGCGACCCGAACATCAAAACGAATCAACAAGACCTTAAGACTATTACATTACCATCTCTTTAATAGTATTTTTATCCATAAAAACCGAATTAGAAGAGGAAAAAAATTGATTGCAGTCGAATTCTTCAGTTTTCAATTATTGTCGGATTTTAAGTCCGATTTCGGTTCCGTAAAATTTATTTTCTTCTCAATCCTTTTAGTAGGCATCAAAACCAAAGTTAATAAGTTTTGTTCAGCTATTTTAAGTACCAAAACCGAATCCATACTCATGCATGAGTTAGAGAACCATGTTACTCTCTTTTGGCATCATGTGTTGGTAAAATATTAGTTTTAGGTTTAGATAGGATCTAGATCTTATGTCCCCTCTTATCATGTTCTTGTGTTTCATTCTTTAGTTGTATTAGACCATTAAAAACCTGAATAACTTGAGCAAATAGAGAGAAAATCGGATTTCAAGCAAGATATGGAGAGAAGTAGAAGAACCGAGCAACACTTCTTTCATTTCTCCACGTTTTCGTTTTCTTGAAGGAGGTAAGGTTCCTCTGTTATGACTTCAAGCAATTGTTTTCTGAAAATATGTTCTTCATGTGAAATATAGTTCGTCTTGTTAGCTTTCTCTAGCCTTTGGAATTTCATGAATCCGAGTTATATCGAGTGAGTTATGATTTTTACAAAATGAGTGGGCAAGCAGTTTTTCTGGAGCCGGCAGCATGAGTCTATATAATGTTTGGCCTGTTTATGGTGTCATAATGTGATCTAGTGAATTTGTAGTCTTCATAAAAGTTATATTTCTGTTGATTAGCTTTCTAATAAGATAGAATTCATGCTGAGGTGATATCTATAGCTCGAGTTGTGTTCATATGATTGTAGATATATTATGTTTGATCAAATTGTGCATTGTAGATAACTTTTTAAATTTAAAGTTGTGAACTTAACAAATATCTTATGTGGTTCACAATCTATCTATATAATTGATATTTGTCAAAATATATGTGATAACAACATTAATTCATTAGAGATGTCTAAGGACCACTCGTATATATGAAAATAACTCTTATATAGAATATAGATACGTAAATTTTCCTTGATATACATGAAGTAGAGTTTTACACTTTGGCAGAAAACTGATTTTAAATGTTAGTAGATTTTACACAATCTTAAAGACCTTATCTGCTTTTGTGTTCTAAATGAAAGTTGTAGGGCTATCTCTCAGCTTTCTAAGCATACTAGAATCATGTAATTTAGAGGTCTGTAGCACAATTTAAAGGATAAATACTGAGATGCTGTTTATATCATACTTCAGTCTCGGGCAGACTTTATGAACCGAATGTTTTGTGTCCAAACTCATTTATAAAATGATTATTTGCAATAGTGGTCTTCAGCAAAGTTGTAGACATTTAACTTAGCTATCACATGGTTTTTGAATCTCATTAAAAACATGTCTGTAGCTCCAGCTATCTAGTAAATACTGAATTCTGGTCGGTTACAAGTTCTCGATTTTTTTTACTGCAACTCAGTTTTGAATGTTTGATGATTTAATTCCTAGTACACGACCTCATTTGCTTTTGGTGTCTTCATAAGAATTGTAGATGCATGTCTTAGAATTCCAGTACAACATAAATCATGTTCATCCGAGTTTTGTACTGAAAGTTATGTTGATTTCAAAAGCGCTGCTCGGGTTATGCTTTGAAAAACGTACGTGGTATTTTGGAAATGGGATTTCCTTGATTAAATTCTTATGTGAGTTTAGTTGGACTAAGTGATTGTTATGATTATTTGTTCATGTGTTGAATAGTCATTTATAGTACTATTTTAATAAATGTAGGTGCTTGACGAGCCGAGCTCGCCGCCTACCCGTTATTGTTGTGCTTTCGCTTGTTATCGTCCAGGTGGATTTACTTATAAAATTTTCTATGCCATACGTGTTGATTAATGTTTAGTTAGTATGACCAATGTATGAATGTGAACCATGTGGCCTACCGATGTGAGCTGTTACGGCCGTCGTTACGATTGTCCCCGTCGAGTTACGGTACGGTTGCCCTTGCGAGGCAAGTCTCCTTAAGACCTAATGAAAGGCCGTGTCCGTTACAGTTACACGCACTCTTGTCGTTAAGGTTTATGCATCCCCTTTCCACGGCTAATGATAGATGTGTACATGAGTGAGTTATTGTTGTGATTATTAGGAGATGAGACATGATTATGATTGATTTATATTTAATGCTGCGACCATACCATCTTTACATGTTGTTATGTGCATAGTAGTGAGCACTACTTTATCATTTGTGCTCATTCCCATCTGCTCTTCACGGATGCAGGTTAAGCAGTTGGCGAGTGATGAAGTGAGACGAGTGGGTGGTCCCTAGTTATTTTATTGCTTCCGTATTATCATGAACTTTGTTGAGACTCGTTGAAAATCCGTTTCGAACTTATGTTTTGGTTTATGTTGGATTTGAATTACTCATGATGTTTGGATTTATGAAATTCCAATTTATGCATGCTTTACAATTCAAGCTGATTATTATGTTATGTGTTGAGAAACGGTTAATGAAAACCATTTGTGAAAAATCGGGTTTATGAATCCCCGTGGGTCCAGATAAGACTTGGACTAAGTAAATTGTTGTTTAACACCTATGAAATTTCGAAAATGAATTCGAAAAATTTGTTCTGATTTTTGGAAAGCCCGGGATTTCATTATAATCAAAGTGGGGTGATACAGTATGGTATCAGAGCCAGTCTGCGTTTCTGTAGACTGGTTTATATGTAAATATGTGTTTAGACCTTGTATTATGACCACTCGTCTTCGTCACGCCGCGCTGCTTAAGGTATGTGTTTATATAAGTATCAATTAAAATACTTATAATGTGAAATGTAACTTTTGTATTCTTGCCTAAGTAGTAGTGGAACTGCTTATGAGATGGATTGTTGAAATTTTGGGTGGTAGTGGATGTTTTATCCACCTTTGTTATAATTCGAATTCTAGTGTTCAACTAGGAGAACTCTAGTTGCATTTGAGATTAGTTATGACCCTAGAATTTTTTTTTTCTCTTTAAAATATCAAGTTGGCACCTTGTGCGAGATATCTAATCGATAAATGAGATTTGCATTTATTCACCATAGCTTTCTGGTGACCAACGTCAAGATGTCTTATTGAGATTAGACAACCGAGAGGTCTAGAATGTGCGGGATCATTCGAACGTCTGGATCAGTAGACAAGTGGACCAGAGGGATTGTTACCGAATAGTTAGTCGAAACTTCCTAAATTGCACATGAGATATTACTCGTGTCAACGAGGAATGAGGTTTTCTCATAGGTATCAACAGAGCCGTGTGCTCTGAAGGTATAAATTTTGAGGAAATCCGAGCATTTTAATCAAGAATCAAGTAGTATTGAGGTGTGAATTAAGCATATACTAGAAGAAGTATATTTTTACACAATCAAAATATTTGAAAAGATAAAGACGTTAGCAACCTTGATAGTCAAACATGAAGAAACAGAAAAGATACATGAAGATTCAAGCACACTGTTGAGGATATCATTATTACTAAGAACCTAATACAGAGACATCAGATAAAGGAAATACATATAAAGTAAAAGTGAATCCTCAACTAATACAAGATAATATATACATAAAGGGAGGGTGCGTCTCAAGAGTACAAGACCCTTAACTCTGCCACCCATAACATATATCAGGGTTTAT